TAGTCTCACGTTTGGTGTGGCAATACTTATGCCTAACCCTAATCAGGTAGATAGCTCTCTATCTAACTCATGCCTGATGCCACTCCACCAACATTCGACATGATATTAGATAGAGACAATCCTTTCATCTCACGCTCAATGTCATTCAACTCATGCTCGATGTTACCAACCTATTGCCCAATGCGAGTGAGACATGACCTCTCTTTGGAACCTCGTTCGATGCCTTAAAGACGTGTCCAATGCGATATTAATTAGTTAATTCTATGCTTATGCAGAAACTAATTTCAACCCAAAACACCCAAAAATCAACAACCCATGGACTTCCATTGCAACATATAACATTTATACATTATATACAACTCACTTTCATCATTAAAAACAACATGCAACAAGTATCCAAACAAAAATCATCTCAATTTATCATACATCTCTTAAAAACCATGAAACCCTCTCAACTTCATATTTTAATTAACTCAACAACTTCAACCAACTCATTCCAATCATCATAACCATAGAATGCACACTCGAAAATTCAAAATCAAAACTTCCCTTACCTCTTAGAGAAGATCTATAAAGAAGAAGAAAAAAAATGACTCCATACTTCGAGCGCCTAAGCTCCATCCGCTCAGAAACTCAAATCTCCACTGCTACCACTTGAACCAATTAAGAAAATGATAGAAAAAGAAGGGTCCAAGAGAAAATGAAGAAGAAAGAAGGAAAAGGGGAGAAGGAAGAGGGAATCCTCTCTCTAGCTTCTCTTTGGGGTTCTTGAAAAAAGAAAAAAAACTTGAATTATGAGCTTCTTTTGAAAAACTTCCTTTTATATCTTTCTTGAACCCACTCCACTTATCTATGATCTAACCCTCTAGAGATTAGCATGCTCTTAGAGTCTTTCAGTTCCCGAACTCTTAGCAACAACTGTCAAATCAAATAACAGGATTATGAGGAGACAATGTTACATATATTTTAAGTAAAATATTTTAATAAATAAAAATAATAAGATAATTTGACATTTATTTAAATATGCTTTTTTTATTTATAGAATGATTAAAGAAAAAAACTTTATTTCTTTATTATCAGATGATACCAAATAAAAAAATAATGTTTTTTTTCTTCCTTTTTCTTGTTAAAAAGGTTAAAAATTGTCAGTAACATCTTTGTAATATGTTTTTATCAATAAATAAATTTTATATTTAAAATATTTATTTTTGCATCATGTTTCTTTGAAATAAACTTCTAAATTAATATTCAATATCGTATATAATAGGCATTAAATTAAGAAAACTTAATAAATCTCCAACTTTGTAAAAAGGTATTCATTTTAGTTATTTACTTTAATTTTTATTGACATTGTAAAAAAAAATTGATTACATTAAATGTTATTTTATAAGTCCAAGAATTAACAAAAAAGAATTTAAGATTTCAAAAAAATTATAATACTTAATTCATGCGGCATCTCAAGGATTAAATTAAAAAAAAAAATAGTATCTTACGTATTTCCCTATTTTTTACTAGTGTCAAACAAACAGGTGATACGATGTGGCCAAAGATTCCACCGCAGGCATGACTTTTTTTATTTTTATTTTTTGTCTCTGGAGTATCCACTACTGATAACAGTGATTAATTTTCTCACTACGTTGGAGGTACTTTAAAGAGTGGGATAGCTGGCCCCAAGATTTAACGCGACTGCATACACAAGACAAGATTCGAACTCCTGATCTTGCTTAAGCGTGGATCAACCCCTATTGTAGGCATGACACAATGACCGTGTAAAGTTGGTAGTTACGTGGCGCAATACTAGGGGCTAAGATTGATTGTTAATTAAGGAGACGGTGACGCGAGAACAGGTCACAGCATTATCCTGGCCATAGATCCTGACATTGATGACGTCATACTCGTTACCCTTTTTCCGTCAACGACACAACACAACACCTGCGTGTGCCTGCGTGCATTGTGCATACCATCCTTTCTTATTATTCAAACTATTTTTTCCTTTCTTCCATTAATCATTGCACGCGCTTTCTACCCTTCAATTTCATTTATTTTAAACATTATACCGAGAGGTATAGCCAAGGGAAAAAGTCAAAGAATTCTTTAGGTAATTAGTCATTAGAATGTTTATCTTATGATTTTAGGTCTACTAAATTTCATAATTATTATAAGATTAATTGTTATTATTTTGTTTGAATCGAAAGACTAATTTAAATATTGAAATATCTTTTATAGATATCTCCTTTTTATTTCTTTTGAATAGATATTTTTGAAGTCTATCAAATTTATTATAAGGAAAATAAGTAAGAGATATTAAGATAAAGACTAAAAAGAGTAGGACGAAGATGATGGAATTATTAGTGCTAGAGATGGCAACGGGGCGGGACGGGTACGGGTTTCATGATACATGTCCCGTTCCCGCAAGTTAAACTCATTCTCGTTCCTGTTCCCATACCCGTCGGGTATAGATTTTCATCCCCATCCTTGTCCTCGTCGAGTATCGGGTATACCTGTACCCGTACCTATACCGTCAATTTTTTTTTATTATAAAAAATGATATTTTAAAATTATTTTTTTTATTATATTATAATTATAATTAAGTTATTTCTTTATCTTATATTATAATAAATAATCATACATAAAAAA